TGATGATGTAAACACATACCTCAGAAACTTTAAGAATTCTTTCTACTCCAATATTTTTAAATTGACTAGAATTTTTATTCTTTTTCCTAACCTACTACTACTACTACTATTCTACTACTACTACTACTACTACTACTATTCTACTACTACTACTACTACTACTACTATTTTAGATATGTTATAAATATAATAATGTGCCGTATATGTATATCCCAATCTCCCACTTATATCAGTCATTATAAAATTCCCAGAAATCAATGGAATTAGATGAAGAAAGCAAAGCAGAAATTTCACATTACATTATAATAATTTATGAAAATTTCTTCAAGCGGTCTCCCTTGCAAGGTCGATCAAGAACCCACGCTACGTTTTTGTGCGAAATTTATGCTCCGCAAATATCTGCTGGCTGTATAGTAGTGAGCAGTCAAAGCAAAGCCAGAATATCTTCTTTGATGGCAAAGTTTATTAAATTCGAGGAAAGCGAACCTTAATGAATGAAGGGTTACAGCTTAGTCAAAGGAAAAGTGCTGAAAGGGGGTGGGTCAGAAGCCGCGAACTGTGTTTGTGTGGATGCTAATCAGAACGGAGTGCAACACTAGCAATGTGGCAGCCACACTCAGGGACACACACACATGCATACGCATACACATACGGTCGTCGAAAAGTGAGCACTCATTATCAACATTTCAAGTCATAATTACTGAGAAACGTAAATAGTATGTGGAGTATAAAAGCGAACAGAAACAATACGAGAACGACACAAGGACGGTTCATATTGTTGTGTGTGTGTGTTTACTTTTGGCGTTGGGGGCAACAGCAGTGGAGACAGAAATGAGCGCTAAGTGAGAAGAATGCAGACCAGAGACCAATGGTCGTCATGCAGGGGAGCGAAAAAAGGTAGCAAAAACAAGAAAATTACATAATTGCATGCAATTTAGCATGCGACATTATCATTGTCCTGGTTAGCATAAGAGTCAGAGTCATTACAAGAAGACACACACACACACACACATAAACTCTCACTCACTCACTCACACATATGCACTCGCGCGTGCTTAAAGAATGTGAAGGAAAAAGGCAGCGAATTGCAGCAGCTGCCACTGTGAAGAGGGGAGAGCTAACGGTAAGCGTATTTGATGTCTCACAGACTGGAGTCGTGTTGCATATGTTTTAATGCAACAACAGCAGCAACGACAACAACAACAACAAGTGTGCATAATAACAAAAGTGACGTAAACAATGAGAGCCAAGCTACAGCTCGCGAGGCAAAGGCGAGCTAAGGGCCATTTTGTCTTTGCAGCCCATAAGGACAGCTCCTTTCACTGGGCATGTATGCGTGTGTGCGTGTGTGTGTGTGCGGATGTGTGTAAGCGTCAAGACAATTGCCCTTTAAATTTTTAAAATCACTTTAAATGAAAACAAAACGTGTATACCCCCCGCTGCCCGCTGCGCTGCCTTTGTCTTTTGTTTAGTGCTCTGGCGCTTGTTAGGTAAATCAGCGTCAAATTGGACTCTGCAGCGTTCGCGTCACAAGAAGCAGCAACAGCAGCAGCAACAACAATAGCGACAACAACACCAACAATAGCTGGGCAAATAACAATGGGCGAGTTAGCAGCTGGGGTGAAGGGTAAAGTTATAACGTGCTTAAGCCTCTTTAACCGAAATGAGTCTCAAAATATCTCCTCATAATGAAGTGCAAGTCTGTGTATGTGTGTGTGTGTGTGTGTGTGCGTGGGCATGACTTCTGTTTATGTGTGTAAAGACAATACAATGGCGCATTGTTTACTACGCTTGTTGTTCCTGTGGCTGAGTCTGTCGCTACCCGCGACTGAGCAGAAAATTAGGGCATTGTTTGAGCCAATTAGATATTTCATGAGTGAGAAACTGAGACTGGCTGCGAGTAGTGCCCATCGCTGGCAGTCGAGTACGGCTCAAGTATATGAAGTTAAATGACTTGAGCATGTTTCTGAATACGCTGAGAGTAGCTGAGAGGCAAAGAGGCCAATATCGAGCTAGATCTGTGAAACGAGCCGTACAGTAAACTCTTAGTGGAGGGCTGTCTTTTACCTATGCGCAAGTGGCAGACAATGGCACTCACTTGGGGCAGACAGGCAGCCAGGCAGGCGTGCTCAGACGAAGGGTCAATAAATAAAGATGTTCCCAAAATCCTTGCTCAATCAAGGACACGCAGGCCCAAACACAAGTCAAGTGCGCCCAGCGACTCCAAAGAGGGTCGCCAAATGGTCCCAGCATGAGGACAACACAACGCAGACCGAGTCTTAATGAGGATGCTTTAAACAAAAACACCTTTCGGGCGGCAGTTTGTATTAAGCGCCAGCCCAGACAATTTCATCCATCGATGGCGCATGGCCATGGCTCGCTCGTGCGCCAGTTATATATCCGGAATGTGCAAATTCGGTTGCTTCGGAGTCGCACTAAATAAATTGATGTCCACATGCTCAAGACGACCCAAAAAGCACAGCCAACAACAACAAGGATAAGCA